TACCTCGTGTAAATGAGTCGCGACATGGTGTGCAGAATCAGAGGTCTTTGCTGTTAAATGTTGTATTGATGTTAGGTGTGTGGTTAGAGAGAATGTCTATGTAACTGTGCTTATGTTCTCATAAACAATGTAAAATCAATCATTCAGTCTCATTTGCTTATAGTGTTTGTGAGCCTCTGGGAGACTCTTGATTAGTTTGAAGGCAGTTTACAGGAATTTTGCCTTGTGAGTCAATGGCGTGACAGCATTCATTTATTAATACCTTAAAAATGCATTTCACATATACAATGACTTGGATACACTTCTTCTATGATGAGCATTGTTGACAGAAGGAGGGGAGATCAGCTCAAATAATAATGAGTGCTAGGCCTGCTCTTTAAATTCTTCAGAAAATATGTTTCATTAGGAAAATTGCAATATTATTGTAGAACTACATATAGGTAGCCTAAACTGTAAAATGACTGTAAAAGCCACAATTTAAATAACTTTACAGTTCAAATATTACTAGTTTTGACATAAACAAACAAACTTTTAAAGAAAGGGGATGAGTCAAAATCATAAAAGATATATATTTTATTTATATTTATTTATTTATTACTTGATTACATCACATTACATTTTTAGTCAATAAAATGAAACTTCTTTTGAATATGGCATAGACTTTTTTTCCCCAATTTTTCTCTTAAAAACATTTTTCTACAATTTACACACTACAATTTCAAAGCAACAAACAATTTGTCTTTCCTCACTGAACATGAAGATGCTGACATAATCACAGTCAATCAAAAATTATATTCATTTATTTATTTAATTATATAATGTACTGTTATATGGCCTGCCCAGAGCATTGCTGCGGGAATAGGAACCAAACCATCAACAAAATATTACTCGTTGTTTGCCGGTTGGTTAGGACAAAAACTCTTTTCGATGGAGGTGGTAGCATTTAGTTTTTTTGTTTTTTTTTAGCTGGTTAGGACACAATGTTATTCATATCCACATACTCATCAACATCAACCTTCTTTTGCTTTTAGTCATAGAAGAAAACCCTGACAGGGGTTTAATACTTCCTGTGACCTTTGATCCCTCCCCAGGGGCATTATGGATTCTTAAAGAGGATAAAAACCTCTGTATATTCTCTCCCCTCACACACCAACAGCTTATCTGTCCCCATGTCAAACATGTTCCTGGTTCATTTCCATGAGAAGGAAGCTACGCCGCTGTGACCAAATTACACCTTGCGTTTGCAGATAGGGTTATTTTAAAGAGGGACGAGGCGAGTGTAAATACACTCTTACTGCTGTTAACACCCAGCCACTTTTCCCAACCGCCCCCATCCCTTGCTCGCTCTCTCCGTCTCCTTCCACCCACCCGCTTCTCCTTCACCTCACCCCAGCCTATCACTGTGGAGCAGTGGTCTGTGAAGAAATTCCCAATATCTAAATTTACACACTGTATCAATCTTGTTTAATAGACTGGAAAGCTTATTGCTCCGGTGCTGGGCGGCAAGAGAGGGCAGCGCTGATAAATTGTGCCGTCCCTGCGACAGCCGCCCGTGATGTATAATGAAATATTTATGATTTATCCCAGCTAATAAACTGAAATGAAGAGCCTGATGTATGGGAACAGATGGGCCCTCTATTGATGCTGTGCTCCTCGCTGGAGATGGAGAGAGAGAGGGATGGTGGGAGAGAGGCGAAGAGAAAAAAAGCTCTACGTTTTAGAGCTTTATTGAAAATGTATTGAGAAAAAAAGGCAGTTGTTTTTCTATGTACACTTTCTGTACAAAATCCAACAATTATGGCAAGCATACTGAACCTGCACTACTCACATCGGCCATGATTAATTTATTGCATTAACAAAAGTATCCAATAACAGCCGTTTTTCTAAGCAATTAAATTTATTCATGTGATCTTAATATATCCGCCTCACGTCACCTGTTTCTGGGCCAAAAAGTTGCATTTTCAATGCACCACATGACCACTAAAAAGCACGTACGTTCTGCACCTGTGTGAAAGGAAATAACTCTCCAAACCAGTAGATGGCAGTAGTCTGTATATGTCATTCAAAAGGGGAAATCAGAAGAGCTACGACTGCAGATATACAAATCGTACTTGCTTTCACACCACTCTCGCTCGAGTTTCATTTGATAGCTTCCGTTTCTCCTCATGCACTGGTTCGCTAAGCTGAACGTATAGTCACAGTGATCTCTCTCACGAATGGACTCCACCACCGATTCAACATGCTCAATTGGCCAAAAAGCCATTGACGGGGGTGCAAGTAGTGCCAACAGTACAGACCATGTGGCCTGACATTGCCCGACAGTTGACCATTGTGTCTCAGCCTTTACATTTAAAGTGAGGTTTGAACTCTTACTGCCAGTATGGGCACCTCAGTTTAATGAGTTGAAGGAAGTATGAATGAAACTAGACATTTTTTTTACACATCAAAAATGTGTATTTGCCTGTACCAAACTCCCATGGGTGTTGCAACGGTGTTGCTATGTAGTTGTTAAAGGGATAGTTCACAAAAAATGAAAATTACCCAATGATGTACTCTCCCTCAAGCCATCCTAGGTGCATATGACTTTCTTCTTTCAGATGAATACAATCGGAGTTTGTATTGTGAAAAAATTTCCTTGCTCTTCCAAGCTTTATAATGGCAGTAAAAAAAAAGTGCTACGCCTACGTCCTGCGTCATCCACTGGATCGCCACTCTCTCGTGAATGTGAATCCCTTCAATTCAGAAGGCCTTTAATTAACCCCCCTGAGCCGTGTGGAGTACTTTTTATGATGGATGGATGGATTTTTTTTTGGGCTTCAAAATCTCTACCACAATTCACTACCATTATAAACCTTGAAAGAACCAGGGCATTTTTTTATCTAACTCCCATAGTATGCGTCTGAAAGAAGAAAGTCATATACACCTAGGATTATTTGAGGGTGAGTAAATCATGCAGTGATTTTGATGGTTTTTAGGTGGTAACTTACTGGAACCTGGTCAAAAGAGTCCACCAAGTAATATTGATAGGGATGTTTCTTTAAGGAAGGCAACGGAAGCGTTGTGGCAATAAAGGATGGAAACTAATTAAAGTTTGTGGCAATGAGTTGTTAGGTTCTGATGTATTGACTGATCATGGGGGCGTGATTCCCATCTCACTCATCAACTGGCTTTAATCTCCAACCAGTCACAGCCTATGTTTAGTTCACCTTGCCCTGCCAACTTAACCACCCCCTCCCACACACACTCATTCACTATAACCCATGACATATCCTTAACCTTCACACACCTCACACACATGCACTCTCGTTTCTCAACTCCCCTTCGCCACAGCTGGGGCTTAGCCACTCAATAATGATCCACGCTGGACATCCAACACCTTTGCCCAATGTTCTTTCCTCCTTTTCTTTCACACTCAGTCACTCACCTGCTATGACCTATTTCCTGTCGGCTTCATGGTCCTGCCCCAGCTGAGCCCCAACACTCGATGAGTAGTCTCTTTGTCTACGCTCTGCTAAAGAGATTGGAAGACATTCTGGCTTGTGATGACTTGTACTTTTCAGACTCAGTCTGAAAACTTTGGCCTTTCATAAAGGTGTGTTAAAGTGGAGGCTAACAGCTTGTCCTAACCAGGCACGTCATGATAAAGCAACAAGCTAAAGGTTCCATCTTTTTGATGTCAGTCTGGTATTGTCCTAAAAGGAAAGGAAAGGAAAGGACGTGTGGCGTCCCATACTTGAAATTTGTGCTCTGCATTTAACCCATCCAAGTGCACACACACACACAGCAGTGAGTAGTGAACAAACATGCACACACACACCGTGAAAACACACCTGGAGCAGTGGGCAGCCAATGCCGTGGCGCCCGGGGAGCAGTTGGGGTTTGGTGCCTTACTCAAGGGTCTCACCTCAGTCGTGGTATTGAGGGTGGAGAGAGCGGTGGATATTCACTCCTCCCACCTACAATCCCAGCCGGACCTGAGACTCGAACCCGCGACCTTCGGGTTACAAGTCTGACTCTCTATTCTTTAGGCCACGACTGCGATAACTGCGACAAGCCATGCAAACTGATATGTCTACTTCCTTACTACATAGTATGCAAAAAGTAGTATTGGCAGGTTAGTCCAAATAAGCAGTATTCATAAAAAAAATAGCAAAAAAAAAAAAATACCCAGATGACCTACTAGTTCTGAAGCAAGTATATCCAGTGTACACTTTGGTTTCTTATCTCATGGCTGTGGGAGAGGAGTTGTAATTTTTGTTAAATGGTGAGGAACAACATTCTCTGTACTACTACTTTTGGATGCAGCTTATGACCGTATCCATGGTTGCATAGGGTCTTGCAAAAGAGTTCATCATGGCCACAAAGAGGTTATTTGTAAGCACCTATTTGAAACATCAAATTACAAAAAGGGCACACTCTTGGACTTCAGAGACACATGCAAAGAAAGGCCACAAATCCACAAGTCCTCATTAATTTCAGCATTTGAGTCAGATTCTGTTTCAGATCCACATAGCTGTATATCCGAGTTTTGATTGGCTTTGCATTTGTCACTTTGTAGCACTCTTTCAGTGAGGAAACGTGATGCTGTAAACCTGCACCTGGTTTGTATAGGGTGTTCCACTCTGCTCCTGCTGCTGATGGCTGCAGTGTGTTTGTGTGTTATGGGGTGGTAATTAAGCAGTCTCCAGCTGAGCAGCTCTGTGCAATTGGTTTTTAAGATTGCAAGCAGAAGATCTTGAGCCTGACTACAGGCTATTATTAGAGCTCAGCAGAGGAGAACGTGCAGCAATCACACACACACAACCCTCATGTTCTTATTGCTGCCCCCTTCCACAGCTGTAGTAGGAGGATGTAGACTATACAGCCGTTTGCCTCACTGTTTGAGCCCCATATGGACTCTTCAGCGATTAATAGAGGCGCAGACCCCTATTAAACCAGAGAGCGGTGTGGAGGCAGGTGTAACTCGAAGGGATCTCTGACCTCTCTGGATGCTCTTTTAGGTGACACTGCACTCTACAGAGATGGCGTGTACTGGATTATGGGCCGCACATCAGTGGACATCATCAAGAGCGGAGGATACAAGATCAGTGCGCTAGACGTGGAGAGACATCTGCTTGCCCACCCAGATATCACAGGTACACAAGCACTCACACAAATACACCTGTACATATGGACAGGGGAATAAATATGCACTGTTTCTTCTTTGCTTTAGATGTGGCTGTGATTGGTGCTCCAGACCCAACCTGGGGTCAGAAGGTCACTGCAGTTGTGCAGCTGAAAAAGGGGAAGACTTTGACTCTGTCACAGCTAAAGGCCTGGGCCAGGTAACTCATATCCTCACTGAACCAGACTTTAGTTTAGAATAAGTTCGGACCACACTGCAGTTTATTCAGCTCACTTAAGGGGCTGTTCACACAGAACAAATTCTTGGATTTAAAAATGTGAGACATGCTGAGAAAGAGCAAAAAAAGTGGATGCATAAAACTTATCTTACCTCATGTATATTAATACCATGACAATCCCAGCAGTTCTGACTGATTTTCTCAAAGGCAAGATTTATTAAATAGGTGCTAGCTAGGGCTGGACGATAAAACGATAACAATAATTATCACAAAATATTTCTCCCTTGATAGAGCGATAACATGTTCTATTAATGTTTGATGTAATGTTTATGCACCAAAAGAGGAACCAAACAATGTTAAAGCCAATGAAACCGCACAGACAATATATATTTCAATATTAATATTTCACCGGATATACAATATGGAATTTTATCATAATTAATGTAGACACGTATTAAACTGAGTAATGGTTGTTATTAAGCTATAGCATGTGTGCATTTGTATTTATATTACATGTATTTAGGCTACTGTTTTTCATACAAATACCATAGAAACCATATAGTTACATTTTACCATAGTAGTGAGGTGGTATGTGTGGTTTTATCTTTGGTTATCATGATCTAATTGAGTGATACTATAGATGACGAATGGTTAATTTGGTTAAGTAGAGTCCGAATATTTACATTTTACCCTATAAATATGAGGTTGTTACAGTTTTTACAGATGTTACTGTTTTTGTTAATGAACATAAATTTACATCATACCATCAGTAGTTTAAAACCTGTGAAACTGTCTGGTTCCAACTTTCACTCGGGAGAAGAAGTCTGCCTTTAAACTTGAAAGAAATCAATTTTGACATTTATCGTGATAACTGGATATCGACTGATATGAAAAATATTATCATGATAATTTTGTTTGGCCATACCGCCCAGCCCTAGTGCTAGCCATTGTAAAATTACCATTTATCACCAGTGCATTTGTTGCTCTGTCACCACTACTTTTTTATTTTTATTTATTTTTTTGGTAATCTCACAGAACAGCTCACAAAAGCCCAGAATAGTTTACATTGTACATCATTCTCCTTCTACAGCTCCCCTAGAGGTCTGAATGCGATATGACAGGATCAGAATTTATCGAAACCGATGATGGTGAGAAGAAAGAAACAGCGTCTAACATGCTCTGTTTAAGCAGTGCCTGTTTATTTTATTCCTCATTCTCGCTCACTTTTTTTAAATGTCACTTTTGTTGGCCAAATGTACCATTTTTGCCTGAACGTAAGTTCTGTCAGAAGACACATGTCCCTTTACAGGAAGTAGCTCAGGGCTTTTTCTTTCTCTATGTGTGTGTGAGCTCCATATGGTGTGGGGGTGTTGGAAGCAGTGCTTTGCCCTGCTGGTGCGATGCTGCGTGTGTTTTTTGTGGCGGCCCTTCTGACCTGTCCCAGCTCCTCTAGCACAGCCCAGCAAAGAGCAACATGCGCAGGGAAAGATGCTCACTCCCCAGCGCCGTAACTCCAGCTGTCATCCTGCGTAATCGTCACTCTATATATGTCATAAGGCGTAGAAAGACAGGAGCTGATGAGCTGAAAGTTACACAAACACTGCACACAGACACACATGCTAAGAGAATGCGGCTACAGTGAAAAGCAGAATATTCTGGAGTGTGAAGTGCAGTCAAAATCTTCAAACCACTGCAGGGAAGAGGAAAAAGAGAGGGAGTGAAAAGAGGAGGCATTAACAGAGAGACACCTTGCTGGAAGGGACTTATATAGAAGAAAACAGAATACAAAAATCTTTTCGCGCACACACAAAAAAACATAAGATGATAAAGACGGCTCCAGGCCTGTACTGTAGACAACCGCAAGAGTCAGGCAAGAACGCAAAACATTTAATTAGCTCAACGCTCCACACTGCCTTTTAGTATTTGTCTTTATTTCATGCTGATTTAATTGTTTGTGGAATTAATCGAATTCCATGTATCTGGCAGCGTTTTATACAACAGAAGTTCCAGCATAAAGGACGGCGGCTGCGTTATAGGATATGCACGAGGTTTTTTGTCATTTTATGTATTTATGTGTGTATTTCACTTGAGACGTTTCACATCTGCACAAAGTCATTAGTGTCTTTGCTTTGCCTGAAGACATTTTCACCACATGTTCCATATAAAACAACATAGAGCATTAAATTATGACACATCTTTATTTCCTTCCACTCCCAGAGTTGAATTTTATTAAGTTAAAAATCTTTTTTTTTTTTATTGATTTTGCCATCTGCAACAAAATTTACAGAACCTAAGATTTCTTTCTTTGGTCCTGAAAAAGAAGCATGGTCTACATAAGTATATTTGTACAAATGCTTCTAACTGAAAAAGCTTGATTTCATGTTTTGTTATAACAGGATGCAAGTATATGTTGCATTTTCAGAAGTTATAGGCAAGTATTAGAGAAAATGATTTGTTTATGATCAGTTTCACAAGGTCACAAGCTCATCGATCACCAATAAATTAATTCAAACATCACCTTTGTGATCAATCTTAGTTTCTGATGGAATTGAAAATCTTCTATACAACACTCAACACTTTTGATTGCTGTCTTAGCTAGCAGTGTTAATTTTGACAGCAGAATTTGATTTAGTTTTAGTTAGTCTTTTGACTAAAATGCTATTTAATTTGAATCATTTTTAGTCATGTTAATTGCTTTAGTTTTAGTTGACTAATGTCTACAGTAGATTTATATGAATAAAATCTAATGGGTTTAGTTAAATTGCAATGTGTTAAGCATTTCTCCAACATTTCTATTATATATAACTCATTATATATTCTTGGAGAAATGGTAATATAAATGATTAAGGTTTGAACGTGCAATATAGACTTTGATTTAATTATGACATATAACATCTTTGTTTATCTTAAAATTAAATAAAACTACTTATCATAATGAAACAAGCATATTATCAAGATTAATCCTTATTAAATGTACTACAGTGATTCAGTCAAGAGCATTGAGTGATTTTCTTTTTCTTTTTTGTTGTTTGATTAACATTAAGGACACAGGCAGTAGCAGGTATATTAGGCTGCTGTCACTTTAAGACCGAATGCAAGGATCCACTATACTAATACACGTTCAATATTTTCCAACTGTTTACTTTCCCTTAAGACACAGCCAACATTTAATAATATTCACCAAAACTGGCATTTTGACATAATTTTGTTTGTTTTTGACAAAAATACTTTTGTCAAAGTTTTGTCATTCAGATCTGGATTACATTTAGTTAAAGTCTCATTTTCGATGATGAAAAAATGTTGCTGACGAGAAACTATTATGAAAATTATGTGTCAGCTAAATTAACACTGTTAGCTAGGATGTATATCACCATCTGCCGTGAGCTTACCTAGGATCTCATTGGGGACCATCTAACAAACAACAATTGTGAAAGAACAACTGAAATCCAGAATTTCTTATTTTCTTAAGTTGATCTTCTCTTTTGGTTTCTTCTTTCAGGGAGCACATGGCTCCATACACCATTCCCACAGGGCTGATCCTGGTGGAAGACGTGCCCAGAAACCAGATGGGCAAGGTGAATAAGAAGGACCTTCTTCGCCAGTTTTTCCCCACTCGCTCTGATTGAACCATGTCTGATCCAAGATCAGTCTTCAGAGAGATGGGAGTCTTAACCACAGACTGAAGAACTGTGTCCGGATCCGATCTATGCAAGAAAGGAGATTGTGATGTCTCCTCACTGAACAGTAGATGGCAGCGTGAGTGATGAGACGTGTCCACAATGCAAAGCACTGTATTGTTCTTAATATACTTGATTTTTGTGGTGGTTTATTTAGCAGATAATAGATGAAATAAAAAAAAAAGTGTGTTTTAAACGTAATCTATATTTAAAATAAGACAATGTAATAATATGACTTCATTAAACTGAAGAAAATTTGACAATGTACACATTTTAAAACACTGAAGGTGTTGAGGCAGCAGCATGTCTGTTTAAAATGAATTACATATTTTTGTAATGAAATTTTGAAATAAACTAATTTATTTTGATCAGTGATGTTCTCTTCATGTGATATCAAGTCCTCCGCCTGCAGTCACCAGAGAGCTGATTAAGAGAGCAGCTCTATCGATCTCTGGCCTTGACTGAGAAGGATGGATGTGCTGGGTGGGTTGCAGTAGCACTGGTGGATGGGCTGTGAGACATGCTGACAGGAGACTATAAAGGTGGCACGGCAAAGAGAAGAAAAGACGAACAATTGGATGTGGTGACAACAGGGTTGTGAAGATTGTTTTTGTGTATTGGGGGGGGCGGGGATGATCCCCAAGGCTCTAGAATGATCAAATATCTGCAGCTCCACTCAGACATACTAGAGTGCACAAACAACCCGGCTTGCATGGATGTCCACTCAAGCGTGTTGTAGTGGGCTGTCTGCAGATGGATGCTTATTGGGCCCCTGGGCCCTGTGGGGGCCACAAGAGACAAGTCAAGAGAAACATTCGACTGGACTCTACTTCGTTACTACTGTGGTTATTTTATCTCCAGCTTTCACACAACGAGCAAAGAAATAAACAGTCAAGTACCACAACCAGGAGGCGAATAACGGAAGTTGGTGTGGAATTTACTTTGAAACTCATAAATTTCTTGTAAATTTCACAAATAATTACAAAGGAATGGCAAGTAACACATTTAATTAATCATGAAATTTAGAATTAACTTTTCTGGATTTAAAAAGACCTGCACTGTGCTGGTGATGCACTCAGTGCACTGGGCAAGTCTTAATTAACCAAATTCATTTTATTTTATTAGACAGTTATTGTAATTACTACAACAAGTAGTATGTACATGCAGAACAGGATTGGGTTACATGTTATTTGGTTACACTTTATTTTAAGGTGTCCTTGTTACAGTGTAATTATACATTTAAGTACTGAGTAATATGAATTAACTACATGTACTTACTATATGCTTAGGGTTAGGATCAGGGTTTGGCTTAGGGTTACTTGCATGTAATTATACATAATTTATTGATATTATAATAGTAAGTACATGTAACATGTGTAACAAGGACACCATAAAATACCCAGGATTGTAAAATAACTATGAGATCAAAACAAATTAAATAAAACATGCACAAATTAACTATTTACTATAAGCTCTATAATATGCATTTAGAAAAGATATAAGGAGAATTTTAAAGACACTAGTGGTTGACATAACTCTGTCCGAAGCCTTTATGCAACAGCAATTGTTTATTTGGTTTTATTAATGATCTGACACTCCAGCTCAACATTTTTGAAAACGGCAAGATGGACACTGAATTATCATGTCCCAGCACTCATAATTTGGTGTGCTCAACAATAGATATGGAGACGGTCATGAGAGAATAAATAACAGGCAGGCTGGCTAAAGATCTATCATCCTGGACAACTATGGGCACCGTGGAGTGCGCCAGCTGACAGGATCATTAATAAAAACCGATGGGATTGTGATCGATCGCTTTGACGGATGATCAGACTCACAGATACTATGAAACACCTGGCTGTCACTCAAGGCAAGCTGCCAATCCACATGTCTCTTGCTAAGAAACAATCAGAGATACTGTATTAACAAAGAGCTGTAAATACCGACAGAAAAGAAAAACACATGTATGATAAGCACGTTAATCCTGAGAAGAAGAAAAAACCCTTTTAAAGAAAAACTGATCCAATATGTAACCTTTATCCTATCCCTAGATGATGGTTAACCAAAATCCTAAACCTAAATTCTATTCCACGACCAACAAGCAAGTTAATCCCAGAGCGTGACTTACTTGCCGAAATCACAGACGCTGGTCTTGCATCAGTTTCGATGTTAATTTTAAGGATGGTGTAGACTCTATTACTCATGGCTGAAAAGTTTAAAATTGCTGGTTCAAGCCTTTAGCCATCATTGACCCATTGAACAAGGTAACTCCAGGATACTTGGAAATGCTTTGTATACATCTGCACTTTGCATTAAATGTTAGTGAAGACTGTTGGCTGTTGTGTGTGTGTGCGTTTGATTGTAAGATTATCAGATGCGCAGGAGATCTGGAGGTAGATGCTGGTGTCAGCAGAAGTCTCTTATTCCCGCTCTGTAATGGGACACATTCATTATCGACCAGTTGCCCTGCTCAACAACCTGCACTGGTAATATTTATCTCCTTCATCTCTCTTACACACTTTCTATCCTCCTTTACTCAGCATTTTACACCAGTTCTTCCTCTTTTGTGTCCATAAGTAGTAAGTGGTAGGAGGAGGGTGAAGGGGAGTCCCTGTCAGATGATGTGTTGTATTGATATCAGTTCATTGCTCTCTGTTCCTTTCTGTCTAGATATGAATTGATTTTGTGTGGGGCTCTCTGACCTGAGTATGTGACTTCTCGTTGGTCTTACAGGAAAGGCCTGAGTCAGATACCATTTCAAACAATGGGTCTGTTCCAAAAAACTTGTGAAAAGTTAAGTGTTTTGTCCATGTCTGAATCCAAACTAAACTCATAAAACTCTTTAAAAACTCTTGACAAGTTTGCGATGTCAAGCGTTTGTCCTCATTAAATGCAAAATGTTATCTGACAAAATCACCAACAATGTGGGGTGAGATTTTGGACAAATAAGATTTTACTATGAGACATCATACCAGTCTAGAACAAAATGTCTGGTTCACTTTGCTGAGGTTTCCATGCTAATTTACTATTCAATCCCACCGGTCAACAGTAAGAATAACCGCACAGAGTAAAACAATGCAATGTTTCAGAACACTATGCCAAGCAAACAAATGCTGGAAGTGGGATAATGCTCAATTTTTCTTAAACTTAAGGGGTGCTCATTGACACCAATTAAATTCATGGAACCTAATAGGAACTGCAGGATCCAACTGTCACTGGCTATGTTTACCTGAAACCAAATACCTAGTTTAGAATCAGACTGATGACTTATTCAGTCTGAAAGTCCAGTGTTGGGGAAAATTATTTTTAAAAGTAATGCATGACAATATTGCATTACCCCCTAAAAAATTAACTAATTATGTTAGTTACTTTTTTTATGAAAAGTAATGTTACGTTACTTTTGAGTTTCTTTTTAAATCTAGGCAGGGTTTGCTTGTTTGTTTTTAATATTAAAAAAAATTATTTTACAAATGTAAAAACCCTTTCACAACAAAAGTGAAATGAATAATCCTCAGGCTGAAGGAAATGTAAATCCATGTCTGTACAGTAGAGGGCACTGCTCAAACAAATTGCATGAAGAATATGACGCAGGAGAAAAAAGTTCAACACTATTCAGCAATAACATTGACTGTTTTTATTCATTTTGAGGAATACTGAATCTGTTTTTGTGCAGGCGAGATGAGTAAATGCATGTTCACATTTAGTCTAGAACTACAGTAAGCATCATGTTCACACAACACAAACAACGCATCTGCTCTTACTCCCGATTTCTCTCAACATGGCATCACGAGAGCTGTCAGTCAAGACATAGGAAACAAAGTAACTGGAGTTACTTATTTGAAAAAGTAACTCAGATATGTCCTTCAAAATGAAAAAGTAATTACTTTGCTAGTTACTTTAAAAAAGTAATCTGATTACGTAACTCGCATTACCCCCAACACTGGAAAAATCTTCATGTAAATACCTGGATTGAGCTTGATCTGAATAAAATTTTGATCTTATTAAAAAGGGGTGGTGTAGACCCTAAAGGTGGGGTAAGCAATTTTTCAAAAACGCTTTAGAAAACTGATTCGGGCCGAATAGCAAAACAAATTAAGTGGTGTTTTACTTAATATTATATTATCTGCAAGTACAGTTTTTTTTAAATATACTTTTAAGTATAAAAAACTTAAACTTAAACACTTCTTTTTCACGAAGGGTTAGTGGACCGTGTTGATAGTTAAAGGTGGGGTAAGCGATTTTTCAAAAACGCTTTAGTAAACTGATTCGGGCCGAATAGCAAAACAAACTTGTAGCCAATCAGCAGTAAGGGGCGTGTCTACTCATGATGTGGAGGAGAGAGCGTTTAGTGCACAGGACAGACATTAGCCGAGACGAGCGACAGAAAGATAGAGATGGCGAATAAAAGACAAAAGAGGAAAACGTCTGCGGAACAAAAGAAGGCTTAAGGCAAGAAGTAGGACCCGTGTAAATATCGGATCAGCTT